ACTCAATCCCCTCATCCAGATCGTTGATAAAGATATTAAAACATTATGAAACATGCTTTGGTATCATGGGGCGGGGCGGGGAGAAACAGGGACAAAAACTGCAAAGACTGGCTTGGAGCCATCTAGCAGTGAACCATAAAGAAAGGTGGAGTCCAGCCCAAAAATAAAATAGCAATCCCTCTCTCTCCATGCACCAGAGATGTCTACCACACAGCAGCTAATGTAAGCTTGCATGCATGCTGCAGTTGTATTCTGTTCTGGCAATCCGGTAGCTCAAAAGTGAGGCACATCTGTAGCTATCATTCTTGTCTGAGGCCCCACAGTATCTGCGAACATACAACTCAGCAGCTTTGCCCATGAGGAGCCACGGTGCTCTTCACAGCTGACCACAGAAAACATCAGGCACAAGTCAATTTTTGCCGGGTTTTCGTATTTCTGCTCTGAGATGTTTGTACACTGTCAGTGACAACAGATCAAACCTACAATTTGGTCTTTAAGCACCTGCTAAGCTACCAATGTAAACTCATCAAGGGTTTTCAACCTGGCTGTGCCACCACTGGGAAATAACTGTAGCAGCTGCACACAGCAGAGCCCACAACTACTTACAAAAGGCAAACAGACAAAATGCAGCCCTAATCTCAAAGCTAGCTTCTGTTTACAGATGGGCACCCCCCTCTCCTTAATCTCTATCCTGGGAGGCTAATCAATCCTCATCTCTAGTCTAACGTCATGACATTACCCCATTTCTAATGCTAGCTGTCAAAAAAACAAGCAGTGTTAAATCTGTCCCCGCACAACTATCATACAAATCTCCAGAGCCAAATCCCAGCATCTCCAGCAATAACTAGTTCTGTCTGGACGACCAATCTTCCAGATCCACTGCTGCCTCTCCCTGCCCCGAGATAAATACAAGCAAATCCTACAGAAACGAACGAGGCAGGAAGAACAAGAAGGAGATTCCTCTCTGCTTGATCAGAAGGGTATTTCAGTAACAAACCCATTGGCAAGCACAGAAGTGATATGAGTGACATTTAATCCCAGCTGCAAGAAGCCAAGAGAGGACTAGTGCTGCAAGGGAAAAGGAATGATTTGTATCATTTCCAGCAGACTGTGTTAGCTGAAACCTCACCTTCACAGGTTTTCCCGTCACTTCCCAGCGTGCGCCCAATCCCGCACTCACAGCGGTAGGAGTTCTTGAGGTTAACACAAAATTCACTGCAGCCTCCGTTGTTCTGCTCACATTCATTTTCATCTACAAAAGAACCACACTGTCAGAATGTGCCCCCTGATAAACACGTGGCTGGCAAAAAGGGGCTGCTACATGGGAGCGCTGGTCGGGCCATGGACTGGCTTTCCTGGCCAGATCTGGGTCAGGGCAACAGAAATGAGCAATCCCACTAAATGCTGAAGACCGCTGTCTACTGACAGTAGCAGAGTGGTTTGCCACGCTGTGTAACTCAGGAGCAAAACAGACCTGGGGGGAAAGACAGCATGCACAGAGCAGCCATCTCAGAGTGAAGATGAACACAGTCCCACTGGGAAACTTCCAAACTGGTTCCACATGCTGAGGAAGTTTGTTTTCATTTATCTTCTCATCCTAAACTATTCCTTGCCCCACTCACAAAGACATTAAAATGAAGTTAACATGACTTCACTGCATAGTAGAACTAGGTGAATACCAGAATCAGTCAAAAATAAACCCTATCTATTTTTGTATCACACCTGCTACTGCTACACGTGGCCAACTACCCTACAGCAATTTTAAATTATTCAATCCTTATTTCAAAATAAAGACACAAGAATGAAAACCAGCTGTAAACATATAAACAAAGCTGAAATCAAACCAAAACATTTTAAGGAAGCCCATGAAGCTTCGCCAAGACAAGTCACGTCATGAGAAATTTCATCATTTTGGCTTCTTGCCCCAGCTCTGGCTGCTCCCTGTCCCAGAAAGCTCAGGTGTTCTTGCAGAACAGAAACGTCAGCTCACCATGGTGAGACCTAACCTGGGCACTGGTGCCACACAGGCCACCACAACCATTAGCTGCTCAGGCACTCGGTACCAAAGAGGAGATGAAGAGCTCAGTTCTGAGCTACTCCCTCTGAGGACTCAGCTCCTCACTGCCCTGCCATGGCCCTCCATGCTCTCCTCTTCTGCAGCCCTCCACAGAGCCGTGGCTCCTACCTTTCCAGCTCAGAAGAAAGGGGAGTGCCTGAGCTGGCATCCCACACTTTCTGGAACAGACTCTGGATAGAGGTTGCAGAATAACCTTGTAATAGGCCTGGACTGCGTTTTTATAGCCTAAAGCAATTTAGTCATGAATAGTACCTGTGTCAGGTTTCTGCGCTGGCTACGTTCAGCTCCAGATTAGAACCCTCCAGGGTGCTGAGGATCTTTATTGAGGAAAAAGCACAGCATATGCTTTTGAATCTCTTGCTAAAGCTCTGAAAAGTCCTCCTAATTTTCTCTGTTTTAAAGGCTAAAGTTCCTCTATGCCTGTCTGCCTTTTTTTTTTTTTTTTTTTTTTTAAAGGTACTTTGTCCTGAGATTCTCATTCTTCAACCTGATTTAATCTCTGTGTGCAAAACGTGAATCAAATAGAGAGGAAGAGACAATCATTGCTATTGCTGAGTCACAAAACTAACGATTTCTCTTAGGCAGGCCAGAATGCTACGGTTATCAATCAAGGTTCACATGGGGTTTCATCAATACAGCTTAGAAGTTACCATCTACCAGATGTCAGAAGCTTAAAACCAATTAAAAAGAAAAATACCATTTTAAGAGACAGGTCAGAGATAAGCTCTCTTAGGTATAAGTGAGCTTATACTCGCAGCTTGCAGCTGGTGGTGGTGTCTCCTTCTACAAGCGACGTGAATTGAATATTTTTAGCCAAAGAAATGGCTGCTACCCTGCTTTGGGAAGCAGGAAGCATGTCCAGGAGACACACACAGACACTTCCCTTTTCACACATGGGACAGGCTCCACACGTTCTCTTCTAACAAGAAAACTAAAGCTGCTTAAAAACAGAGGGTGAAGAGGGAAAGGGCCACTGGCAAAGGCATAAAGGTGCTGTTAGAAGGTTCTAGAGCTTGGCTCGGTCAAGGGCTGTACCCAGCAATTCACCTGGCCGGTCCTCCACGTTCTACAATACACAGCAGATCTGTCCCTGCCCTGCTGCACCAGCGACAACCTGCACTTCTGGGACACAGGCTGGTTTTCTTGTGACTGGGTTGGGAGAGCGCTGAACTAATTTTAACCATGGCTTAGTCCAACATGGATCCAGGTATTCAAGAGGTCAAAGGCAATGCACTGAGTTGGTGGATCCATGACAGAAAGTCAAAGACCTAATCTAACCCCGAAGTAAGTTTGCAAATGAAAATGTAACTTGGGATCAGCAGTTCTACTCTGGGATTCAAAGCATAGAATGTTCTGAAGTCAGCCTAGCACAGGGAGGTTCACAGACAGAGCTGCTTAGCATTACTGCAGCATCTTCAGCCCCCCTCTTAGGGTGAGCTGGGAAAGGAAGACTGTTCTCCGTATAGGAAAGGCTAATACAGGTTTGCTTGGTTTCTCTGGAAGGCCGGCACGGTTGCTCTCAGATACATGATCGCGCAATTACTCAGCACAACAGAAAGTCATTAGAGAGATGAGCGAGCGGTGCAACAAGAGAGGCTGCAGGTAGGTAAAGCAGTGTGATTATTACAGCTGAGGTGGTGTGCCATCTGGTTATCGTGAAGAGAAGCAGCAGTGCACAAATCCTGCCCAGCCTGGCTATGGGGGGGATGAAGGCAGCTCCAGCACACGCAGACAGGCTCGGGACTCCTGCATGCCTCCCTGCCGCAGGAAATCCTTTCCTGTGAGCCTGCCACACATTTATTGAGAGCTGCTGCTCGTCAAGGGCACTTCTATGCCTGGAAGTCTCGCAGAGAAACAGCCAATAGATGCTTTTAATTAGCTGAGAGAGCAAAGTCAGCCGCTCAGCTGCAGAGATGTGGAGGAGCTTTAGCAAAACCGTTCCGTAGAATTGGTGTGAGTGTGAATCTGCAGCAGGGCCAGGCTGCTCTCTCCACAGATTGTAGGGACTGTGGCCCCTACCCTGATGCCCACAGACATGAGGAGTGTGAAGAAAGAAACCACCCACACCTGCTTTGTCAGCTATAGTCCACATAGAAGAAACTCCTCTGCCACGCAGCCTGCCGGACCAGCTCTGCTCTCAACTTCTCCACGAAATCAAGCCTCAACGACAAAGATGAGATCTCACTTCCTCCAAACACTAGCACCCTTTCCTCCCTTCACACCGCCATTGGCGTGGCTCTGCAGCTCCACAACAGCCACCCCTTCCCAGCCCCTCACATCACCCCACAGACCACCTTCTTCCTAAGACCTCGCAGCCCAGGTGCTCTCCTCCCAGCACCACACACAACCACAGCCATCCTCACCTCAGGGGTTCACAGGGATTCCCCCACAAATCCCTGGAGCCCACGTTACCCACTCTGCTCTCACTTACAGCCCTCACCTCTCTCCTGGTCATGTTAGACTCTGCCAGTGCAGTCACCAAGTGCCAGCCCCCTGAATACCACCTTGTCATGCTGCCTAGAACTATTGCAGCTTTGCTCTGACCTGAAATCCTTTGGCTCTCCTCAGACCCCAGGCCCTGGACAACACCCCACGAGGGCAGTAAGTATGGCGAAGCTTAGTGCATAGCCCTACATCAGACAGCAAAACTGTTCTTGGAGGAAAGAGGCATTCAGAGCAGGTGAGAAGAAATCTCTTACTGACAGACTGCACAGCTGTTCCTGAAAACCAATGAGGCTGTACCGTGATCTTGCAAAGTGACTCTGCTACTGACAGTGAAGCTGCTGCCTTCAGCAGCTGGACCATGCAGAAAGCAAATCTAGCATCTGCACACGCATAGCTCCAGCGACACCGGAATGTATTCAGTCATGGGGTGTCGTATCTCGCCCTGCAGGGAGAGATCTGGAACCATTTACAGAATCAGAGACCTGTTCTAGGCAGCAAGGGGGAAAAAACTCCTCTCAGAATACTTTTCCTTTTTTATACTGCTTTGTAAGACAACGGATTGAGATGCGAGCAATGAAACAAAAGGGAAAGAAAGCATCAGTAACTGACACAAGTTATTTCCACCCTTACCAAGACATGTCTGTCCATCAGGTCCTAGCGTTGTCCCCAGGGAACACGTGCAGTCGCTGGTGTCCAGGCAGGAGCCCTGGCAATCCACCACATCACAGATGTCATAGAAATCTAGGGCACAAGAAGAATATCGTTAGCACAAACCACTAAGCATGCAGCGAAAATACTGTAGTTGTACATCAGCTTCACGCCCTGTGTCTAGTCCATCGGTTACAGACCTAGCCCATGTCAGGAAAGCTGAGAGAGAGAATCTAGTTTAATTACTTCAAGTCAGAGATGCAAATTTTGGCTTTGGTAGCATGCCAAGACAAACCACAGGGCCCACAGAGAGCATTAAATCACTGCGGCCAGGTCAGGTACAGAAGATTTCCGCTAGCTGAACAAAGGCTAGAATTCACGGAGGTGAAACAGTCTGATTGATCTCTTATAGGCAGGCCACCACCTGCGCTGCATCACCTGACACGCTCCTGGGTGAGAAAGCCAGAAACCAGTCACCACCTCTCTCAGTATCATAGAATCATCGAATTGTTTAGGTTGGAAAAGACCTTTCAGATCATCCAGTCCAACCATTAACCTAACACTGCCAAGTCCACCACTAAACCAGTTAAGGGGAGAGTAGTAATTAATTTCATGTTTCGTGGCTTGGTGGCTGGACTATTTTTTAATAAAAGTAAAATTAGAATAGAATCATTAAGGTGGGAAAGGACGTCTAAGACCATCAGTCCAACCGTCAACTCAACACCCCCATGCCCACTAAACCATGTCCCAAAGTGCCACCTCTGCCCGTTTTTTGAACCCCTCCAGGGATGGCGACTCCCCCACCTCTCTGGGTGTTCACTACCTCTCCTGCACCACGGGGATGAAGGGGTTTCAGAAAAACGATCTCAGCAGTTACTTACGCCCACAGTACGCATGGAAACAAACGCTGGGTTTGGTTAAGTGATACACGTAGTACCCGCCCGGACACGCCTTGACGTCAATCGTGGTATTCCAAAGGCAGCAGTTCCCATTGAAGCTGGCACAGGCTTGGCGTGGGACGATGCCATCCGACTCTCGCGGGGGGCTGCCATTCAGCCCAATGGGGGCCACGGTGGCCATCGGACTCCCGCGGGTGGCTGCCATTCAGCCAAATGGGAGCATGGGTGCCGCAGTGGTTCTCCGGGATGCAGAAGGTAGGCATAGCATCGCCAGCCATGCCAGTGAAGCGATACCACTCCCCGTCGATTTGACTGTCGCATGTCGGCTGGCCGTGGGAACCATTTATCTGGTGATCCGTGTTCCTCCAGGGCTCGTTCAGGCTGATGTAGGCAGAGCAGGGGTCCAGAGCTGAGACATGCGGCAAGAGACAAGAGAGAACATCCGGTAGATATCAATCAAGTTGTTGACTGATAACTGCAAGGAACGCAAAATAATTTCTTTTTCTATTCTTGACTTAACAGAATCATTGTGATAGATAGAGATCCCCGGGGAGAAACAGCAATACCAGCTAACTAATTGCCTTATGGAAAATTCTGACAGCTCAGCTTAAACGTCTTGGAAGGAAAAATAAATTAACAGAGCTCTTACAACATTATGCAACGGTCTGACTTGCTGTTTAGCTGCTGTAGAGTACGATGGGGAAAAAAAAAAAAAAAACAAACAAAAACCTGAGGTCCAGGGAGTGATTTTGCCATAGGAAATATGTCCTGGGAGCACTGGATCAAGCCTAGGACATCCACCGTTTGGTCAAGCGCTAACTGAGCGCCTGCAAGCCCCTCCTGAAGTCACTGGTAACTCTCCCACGTGCCTCGGAGAAGAGGACCAGACTTCAAACAGGTTACGCAGCCTCTCTAAAAATCCATCCACAGCCCACGTCAGCCCTCACCGTTGAGTTGCCATAACCACAAGCCAGAGATCACCTTGCAAAGCATCAGTTAAAATGTGACTTGCAAGATACGCAACAGGAATTCTACATTTAAGGTGTACAGAAAGAAAATATTCTATTTCAGTTATTAGACCCCTATAGAACTGTAAGTGACCCCTAAGCATAATTTATCAGCTCCTACTCATTTCAGGGTACAATTTTAAACAGCTAAATATAAGGTCTGCTATCCCAGGTCACAATGAAGTTGAGCTATAGCGCAGCAGGCTGTCTCTAACCAGGAGTGCATGCTTAGAGGTGAGGTGGGAGAAAGAGACTCTGTTCCATTTACCTGGGGTTTTATTCTCCACTCTCTCTCCTATAGTACGTTTGTCCCAAGGTGAGCTGAAAGAGCTGTAACTCAAACCTGTGCACTCTGTAAAATTCTGCAGCGGGGCAAAAGAGAGAGGTGGCAGCCCCCTGTATTTAAAGATCCGCTTAGATGTGCCCTGGTCTCCTTCAGAGACTCTGTCCCGCACTTCCCTCTCTGCCAAGTGCTAACCACCTTACAATTCACAGTATCTATTGAGATCTTGTGAGATGTTGCCACCTCCCTGCATCTGAAACAGCTTCCCCAAATCTTTTTATTTATTATCTTAAAATCTAGAGAGCATGAAAGTCTGAATGAGGACCTTCTGGGGAGCAAAATGTTCAACTCTTGACACAGTCCTGTTCCTTGCAAGCCCACAAACCCTCCTGATCTCCACAGATCATATGTTTGTGAATGAAGGGAGCGTTTGTGAGGGCAAGATAGAAACACGTGGACCTCCTGGTAAGGGTATGTCTGTTCATGCAGCACTCAAGGAACACACCCCTTTTCAGAGGCCTTTCTGAACCTTCTACAAACAATTAAAATGCAAGAATAGCATGGGGGGGGGGGGAAATCGAAGAATTGAAGTGTTCATTACATTTTCAGCCTTGTCCTAATTAACCCTGATTTGGCAGCTTCCTCGCTAAAAGTCCAGAGGTTTCATTTTCACTTACATTTAATACCTGATTAAGCACCACTCACTCGTGACTCGCTATTCCCTATTAAGCGAAATGAATGCTAATACTGTCTCGAGTAAGGAAAATTGATGACCATTTGCTAGAATTAGGCTAATAAAACCAATCATCCTGATTAAATGCATCTCAGACTGGAATACCCTCCACTTTCCACACCACATTTCCTTTTAAGTTCTAAAATTGCTCGCTCTGTTTTGTTTAAACAATAGAGTGATGCAGTTGAGGGGGGAAGGCATATTGTTTTCATTAGAATGCTCTGGACACAGACAAACCTCCTTCGTTCATTATTTTGATTTGCTTCACTGACTTTAAAGTGGGAACTACAAGTGCTTCGGAGAACGGACTTCAAGTCACCCTTATTTAGCTGCATCCTCTGTAAATATCCGTCTCACCTACATGCTGTCTTGTACCTTCTCACAAATGTAACATCTCTCTTGACAAACATCCTGACACCATCCTCAGCCACAGCCACGTCTTGTTTGGCCTCAAATCCAGCAAAAAAGGCAGGAGCAGCTGCCGTAGTCACGAGAGTGCTGCAGAGCTGCAAGCTGGCACAGGGACTGCGAGTCTGGGTTACAAAGGGAACCTCTAGTGCTGTAATTCGTGAGGTGCACAGAGGAGCAGATTCACTCCCACCACAAGCAGCCCCTAGCTCTGAGCAGCAGAGGAGAAAACACAGCAGGCATCTCTGATGAGACTCACCGGGCAATCCCTCGTGAGCTCTCCATTTCACCTGCCTCTCCTTGCCTCCCCCTTACCCACAGGCAGCAGCAGCACTGTTAAATCCCATCCTCCAAAAGCTCGCTTGACTTCTTGCAACACGAAAACACGGGGTCCTGCCTTTGCACACAGCTGAAGAGAGCTTTCCCTGGGCTTCCCTCAGTATAAGTCACTCGGCTTCCACAAGATGATTTGGTGTGGCCTTAGGGTGAGTCACTGACTAAGATTAAAAGGTTTTTGTGTTGTTAAAAGCCAAATGAGGCGAAGCGAGGAATGCCCCGTCAGCTTCCCAGCTGGACAGTGCCAAAAATACACATGCTTTAATTATGCCATATGAAAGCTAATGAACTTTATGAAATATCCTTTGTAGACTGACTCTGAAAACATTCATCCAGGCAGATCACATTGTCTCCCAAGCAGACAGGAGATAATTTAAAGACAAAATTTACTGAGATGAACATGCAGCTGCTCAGAGGGAGCTGGAAGACAGCACTTCACAGGAATGGGGTAGCACGCCCATCTTTCATTTCTCTGAGAGCTTCAGGCAGGAGTGAAGGGGAGGCAGACAAGCAGAAAAAGCAGACGGTGCTCTTTCGATCACTGCAGACCCCCACTCCACCCTCAGACTGCCAGGGCTGCCCCAAGCCAACCTCCCTGCGGACACCAAGCAGTCTTTGGCAGCTTTACTGAAAATGGATTTTGAGTTTTTTCTTAAAAACTCCACAAAAATACAGAAGCAACCTATCAACCTCTTATCTCTTCTCCCCAAGCACCCAAAGCATGGGGGTTTTGCACAAGACCTATAACTGTCTCCCACTCCCTCTGTTTTTCATTTTTCTTGGCTCAATTTTTTTCCTCCCCAACGCTTCTTGCATGGCCTGAGCAATTCAGCCTGACAAGCATTAACTATAAAGTAAAGCTTTTCAATTTGTAATCTTGATGATATCATTAGTTCTCTAGCTGACATGCTAGCATATATATTGGATGACAAATCAGGCTCTAGCAAGCATTCATAAGCCCACCGTTCTGCAGAGAGATTAATCCTGTGTGTACTGTGTAACTGGAGGTCCCTGCTCTGGCACGACTAAGCAATGAAACGAGCAGCACTGCATTATGACACTAAATTCAGTTAAGACTTGTCAAAGCAGCAGGTGAAAAAGCAGCGTAATATCTACTCATAGAGGCTCTCCTCCGAAGGGAGAGGAAAATCCCATGGTGTCTTGGCAGTAGAGATCTCCCCAATATGGGAGCCTTCACGCTCTGTGACAGAAAGCTCTTTCCAATTTGAAAGAATTTCACACCACCTTCAGAGAAAAAGGATCTCTCTCACGTCTTCCAGTCTTTCACCTAAGAATACCAAGGCTCAGCACGAACCTTAAAGACAGAAAACAGAAGTAAGCTTGAAGGCACTGCCTCTTTACTCACCCATCGAAGACACTGGCTGCAACTGGATGATGAAGTAGATACAGAAAAACAAGTACTGGAACATCCCACTCAGCTAAGGAACAGTTGCCACCCAAGTAACAGAGGCCTGAAAGCCCTTGCACACACTGTGGCTCTTTGCAGCCGTCTTCTCGGTGGAGCTTCTGACCCCAAGCTTTCTGAAGAGCAAGTGTGATAGCTCTCCTGGAGGTTTATCAGAGGAAGAAGCTGAAGGGATGTGGGGTACAGCTCCAGCCTTGACCTCTGCAGAGCAGCTCTGCCCCTTATTGACAACAGGGACGTACTTACTGATCAATCTTGTTTTTTGGACTCGACCCGCTATTGTTTTCTGGCCTGATTTCCCCACAGTGACACCTCCGCTATCTTATCTGGAGAAGAATTCTAACCAGGGGACACCCGGACATCCCGAAGGGATGGAAAAGAAGAACAGACGGGTGCTTGTTGTTATCTCTGCTCCTTCCACAAGTCATACGACTTCATGGCTCCCCATAGGCAGAAAACACCAGCTAAAGAGCCTTAACTGCAGGAAATAGTAGCCAAAGGAGGAGAACTGATCCTTCCGAGCAGAGATTGCAGATGAGTGCTTGGAGCAGAGCTACAATGGGAACATCAGTCAAAGTGGAGGACTGCTGTCCCACAGGAAAATAAGCCGTTCCTATGCTACACAAAGACCCTTCCCACTCCTGGTCACATAACCTGACCATTGCAGCAAGATTATCAAATGAGACAGACATTTTTCTGCCATAGTCTTATGCCTTTAACAAACAAACAAAAAAAAACCCAAACCAAACCAACAAGCGAGAAACCCAACAGTACTGAATTAGCTTCCATGCAAAACCGTGAAATTAAGAACCTCTGCCTTACCAGTTCAAACCAAACTAGGTTGAGTTGCAGGTCATAACCATGTGCTCTAGCTACAGATGAGATGTAGCACACTGAAATCTGTTCTCTATTAAACCAAACCAAGCACCGTGACTGGCAGTGAGAGATACCAGGGACAACGTGAATAAGCAGAAAGGGATCTTCCCTCTCATCCTGCTAGCTGTAGCTCTTATTATAGAGAACAGACTTAAAATGCTGGTTTTAACATAAACGTACATATGCATACCTACAGGTCCCTCCCTGCTTATGGTTGTACAGTTCTCCTCCAGGAAATCAGCTGCAGGCAGAAAGCTCTCCATCAGCAAAGAGTACAGCTAAGCCTACACAATCGCACAAACAAGCAAGCGTAGGCATTTCCCCACCTCCTTTGCACCCTGCATTTCTGCAGCAGGCTGGTGTAAGGAATAATGCCAGGGTTGATGTCTTAGCTTCAAATCCCAGTAGGGAAAAATTAGCTATGTTATTTTCACATTGAGTATGCATGAGACAAAGAATTAGGTATTTGCCTACTTTGTAGGGACTGTATGTTGTAGAAACTGTACATTGTAGAAAGTTCTCAATGGCCTCTCTCTGTCTGGGTATTCCCCTGACAGTGAAGTGCAATATGCTACTCTGCTCCACCCCAGCAGAGGAGTCTTTTTCAGTAGTGAATGACTCTAGGGAACAACAAAAGAAGACTTATAAATGACTGTCATTGCCCCCACCACCACAAAGTAAAAAAAAAAAAAAAAAAAAAAACCCAAAACCACAACACACCAAAACTTTCTGGCTATATTGTGCTGACAGCTGTGCAGTACCAGAAAAGTGTTTTCAACAACAGGAAAGGAGAACAAATTCACTATGCAAAGCTAGCAGGGTAGATAACCCTTAAAAGGTGATTATGTGAATTCCCAGAAGAGAAACTAAAATTGAACGGACAATAATACAGCAAGCCACAGGACGTTATATTTTGCCATTTTCATTGAGAGGTTGATTCATACTTAAGATCCTGGATAAATAAAACTGACAAGCTTGAATTGAATTTTCTATTTGTGATAGAGGTGCATGTATTTTTCTGAACCATTTCATTACCAGCTGCTTTTATCTTTGTAGGTGGTATATTAGGCCTGACACTAGTAGTGTTTTGACAGTTACATGTAAGTAACTGACAATTAACATCAGGAAATTAAATGCATCATAGCAGTTTTGAGCCTCAAAGGTGTCACAAACAGGCCCCATCAAGTTCTCCAAAATGGATTAAAGCAGGAGATGCCCCAGCATTCCCAGAGATGACACTATCCCAAATCACCATAGCATCTAGTTCAAAGAAACACTCTAAAGCTGGAGAAGATTCAGTGCGCTGCCTCTCAACATTTTTGGAATCCACAGGAAAGACAAAGACCATCTCAGTCTTCTGGAAGAAACACCAGCAGAGGCAATTCCTCTTATCAGCACTTCCTCTTTGCTTTGCAAGTTATTTCGGGTGACATACATAGCTCCAGTTCCCCCCCAAACAACACTAGCCTGTATTAGAGTAGGCCACTGTAAATCTGTGCCTCAGGGAACTGGAGTAATTATTCCTGAGAGGGGAAGGGGGAAAAAACAAACCCAAACAAAAAAAACCCTCCTGCAAACAGACCCTCTGGGAGAGAGTACTCTACTGGAATTTTATCCTCTAGATGCTGTAGGGCCTGTGCTCTCTAGGCAGATCTGGTAAATGGACTGATGGTCTTAGAGGTCCTTTCCAACCTTAATGATTCCTAGTTTTTACGTTCATTAAAAAATAATCCAGCCGCCAAGGCAGGAAACATGAAATTGCTACTCTCCCCTTAATTGGTTGAGTGGTGGACTTGGTAATGTTAGGTTAATGGTTGGACTGGATGATCTGAAAGGTCTTTTCCAACCTCAACAATTCGATGATTCTATAAATATGTTGTTCCTGACCTCTGCTTCCCCAACCCAAAGATGAGAGATGCCCGACTTCCCAAGAGGCAAGAAGAATCAGGGTCAAGTTCGTATTTCTTAAAAGTAGTCATCAGTGTGGGTTAGAAGATATGAAGAGGGAAGGCAATATTAAAATAGAGGGCTGGGATTTTATTTTGGTACCCTAGAGATGGGATCTTCTAAACCTGCTGCTGTCTAAGCCTGGGTATGTCTATTCTTAAGGCAAGAAAGGATGCTGATTTTGCAGGTGGCAACCACACTTCCTGCCCCTCCCAGAGATTTGGAGAGTTTCACCATCCTTACACAAGGAACTCGCATTCTTCAAAGCATTGGCTAGGCTGGAGAGTCTCATACGGTTTGTAATGGACTAACGAATAAAGATGTTTTGGTGTTTGCTGAAGATGGCCTTGTCTTTGTCAGAGCCACCTCTCAAGAGGCACCAATGTCTGATGAAAGTGAGATGTGTGAAGAACAAGCTCCCGGTGCAGGAGTAACTCCCACAGCCCGCCTAGAAGGAGCATGCGGAAGAGCTAATCAGCACTTCCTGCCACCGAGAGAGAGGAGAACCCGACACACACAACAGGATCCCTGTCTGCGATTGATTTGAGGATGTATGTTCACAATAAGCCTTGACAGGCTGCCGAGATGGATTGCACGAATGTCAAGGACTTAAGAGATAGGCCTTGTTGCTGTAAACAACATGTCCCAGGACACGGTGCCAATGGGAAGGGCTGTTGAGATCAGGGAGGGAACACAAGTTTGGTGAAGTATAGCAAACTCAACGCAAGAAAAGTAAAATGCCAAGACCCCATTAAAATCAGACAAGTACATAAATCCTAGCGAAGAGGAGCAATTATTTCCTTTCCCTTAGCGGAGCCCTGTGATGCAGAACTTGGGTGTTTTGAGAGTGTTTTTCCACAGGTCCTACAGAATGCAGCGTATTTGCCATGATTCTCAATTTCTAGATGGAGGAATTAGGGCATAGACAGCATACCCACAATTACAAAACTAGTCAGGGGCAGAAACAGAAGTAGGACCCATCTTTTGCAAGTTCACAGAGCCACAATGACACAGCACAACACCAGCTTCTCCCATACCTCAGGGCTTAGGTACACTGCAAGTTTAATTTTAATTCCTGTATTTTACTTTTCACCTCTTTAGTGTCAGTATAGAAATAAAACTGATTCTTTTTTTTTTTTTTAAAGGGAATAGTTGGGATCTCTTGTGATTGGTAGAAAAATACTTAAGATATAAAAATCTCCTTCCTATGTGAAAATAAAGTCATACAATGTGGCACAGAGGAAAGCAGCGTGCATTTAAAACTCCACACAAAAACCAACAAAAAGAGGAGATGAAAGAAATTGTTGCACTGGCTCAGAAAGACAGGGCAACTGGGCCAGCTTCACTTGACTGACGTAGGTGCCAAGGTCTGACAGTCACCAGCAGCTTCAGAGCATCATGCAACCCCGCTTAGAGCCAACACAGAAGTGTAAGAACTTGCAGCGAGGTGATCATCATCACTGCCTGCCAGGTAGGAAGGGTTACAGGGGAAAAGAAAAAGGGCTTTTTGCGCTCTTCAGGAAAAAGGAGCCATGAACACCTCCCCTGGAGAGGTTTGCAAGGTAGAGCCTTGCAGGTGTGGCAAAAAGGGAACCTAATACATTTCTCCAGACAAACCTGACATGCTTATTTGAAAGCCCCCCCACAGAAGAGAGGGAAGAGAGATGAAGCAAACTTGGTAGAAAAAGCAACATCTGAACACTGCAAAGCACACTGCTGTTTATCCTTCATAGGGTCTCAAGAATGCAGCATTATATTAAGATGCAGGTAGCACTGCCTGCTCCTAAAGTGCTGCCAGGGGGACAGGACCCTATTACCTGCTGGCTCCTAGGCGTGAAATAGCTACTGCAAGAGAGTTTGTTGATGTTGACATACAACAGGGCATATCAGGAGAGCAAACAAACATCACCCTTCCCTTCAATGCTAGCATTCAAGGGCAACAAAAGCAGAAGCACCGAGATTTGAGTTTGAGGTTTGCGGCAAGTCAGCCACCCGCGGCAGAGACCTCGCGTGCGCTGGTGGTGCAGAGGGGAGCGAGACTGCAATCTGCCAGGGGTACAGACTAACAAGACCCACCAGACAGCCCGTATTTCAGGGTACAACTGTAGACTCTTATTTTACTCCTTTTCCCACATCGTCTCTAGAACAACATTAAAGCACGTGCAAGAACAATTTTGTCACACCATTTTCTCGCTTTCAAAATAAGGATTGTGGTACTAGATGTCAAAGCTTTCAGTTCTTCTGGATGCGAAAATGGACGACTTCTTATGCAACTGTTCCAAGCAATTTGTCTAGGCAGGGCAGCAGCTCATCTGTACACAGCAGCAGACTAAGGGCTGCTTGGAGAAAGAGGGCTTGTCAGCACTGCCGAACTAAATTTCAAGTGATTAAAGGTAGGTCACAACAGCTAACAGCTTCCAGCCCCTCCTCTCTGACTTTAAAAAACAGAGGAGAAAGTTGGCTGGTTTTAAAACTGGCCAATCATGGGTTTGTTTTTTTGGTTGTGTGTGGGGGTTTTTTGGGGTTTTTTTGGTGGTTTTTTTTGTTTTTTTTTAATACAGTCAATGGACATGATAAAAAGAAAAAAAATCTTCTGGCACCAAACAGCTCATCCTAACATCCCATAAAGTTAGGACAAAGTACAGTCTGCTGATTCCCAAAGTTAACGAACAAATGATACGTCATCATGACAAATCAAACCACAGCCACCCAAAGGTCCCCAAAGTTACAGAAGCTTAAACCTTCCGTTTTCCTCTGAAAGAGCACTTGAACGCAATATAGAAATACACTGACACCACTTGGTACGTTTTAGGTTGCTGGGCGTTACGTGCCCGTATATATTCTCATCCTGCAACCTGCCACATGTCTCCAGATTTTGTCTCAGCCTCCACGTGGAGCTACTATGCTGGTCAAACAAAGGCAGATCTTTGTTAGACCAAACATCTCTACCTCACCACCTCAACAGCTCCCGAGATCCCTGTGTTACGCAGCTAGGCATGGCAGCGAGATCTCCACCCGAGCTTCTTCAGGAAAGCTATTATCTGCATCACCACGGCCTCAGTGATGTCAGGTCAAGAAGAAACAACCTAAACAAAAAGAAACGGAGGAAACTCAGGAGGCAGCTGCCACACATACAATATTCTCTTCTCAGCTGGGGAAAATAACGTTATTCAAGAGCACTGATTCAAAAATTGAATAGTTATTTATTGTTCCAGAAGTACATTGCTCTTTTATACATATTTCATAAATGATACAGGATTTTACACGTTCAGGTTTTTTTGTTTGTTTGTTTTTTAAAGAAGGACTTTTCTCCATGCTCCCTCCCTCATCCCAAACACACACCCAGGATTCAGCTACAGGATCGTGTTCATTTTTTTCCCTTTAAAACTCACCACACAAACAGGATAAAACAGATAAAAAATAATCACACAATGTAATTAAATTGAAAGACAGAGGAAAAGGGGGAGGGAAAAAAAACAACCTAGAAACATGCACCCATTCAGTCCAACATGCCATTGAGTGAGAAGAGGCAGCAATCCCAGCTGTGTTTCCACATCTGCAAGGCACCTGGCGTCTAGTTAATACTAATTTGTTTCATTCTTTCCCATTTTTTTTTTTTTTTAAAACATGGTTCTCAAAAAAAAAAAAAAATCCAACCCCAAACCCAGAAGCCTCTTTCATGACACAGTGAGGAGTAGTAGTGAAACATCAAAAAAGCAGCCAGCTTTTCTGTATATAAAGCTTAGTGCCCTTCTCCCACCTTCATCCTGTCTCCACAGTATTTATCAGCAGGATGCTAAACCAGACTGACCTGCTTTGAATGAAGAGATGTGTTTTATCTGCTTAGAAATCAGCCAGCCTTGGCTAGGAGAGAGGGTAATGGGTTGACTTTCCTTCCTCTATTTCTTTTAGCTAAGAACAAGAGATGTCATTAGCCACTCCTAAGAAATTCTGACCTGTGGGTGCAAAGGTCATTTAAAGCTAGTGAAGTAGGGGAAAGTGCTAGAGAACTGAAGTAGTTCTGTGTCTTGCACTGTAAGAGCCCTGGGCTTGCAAAAAGCCTCTGGGCAAGGAAAATGCTTTGACCATATATGAGACCTTTTATCCCATTACACAAATATCAAATTTAATTATTCCATGTTCCAAAGTTCATTCCATGTTCATTTAAGCAGGAGTTGTGATTCTGCGACAGTTTTGTAATCCTTTAAACCTTCATTAATTTCCTAGTCCCAGGTTGCTATCAGATTTGGGGTAGGAAGAGGGGAATCTCCCTCCCTTAAGACTGAATATAAAAAAAACCTCTCATGCAATGCTGCCATTGATTTCTGGAAGGAGCTCAAGGGCATTGGGACGCAAAGTTTATATAGTTATTATGGAATAATCCAAAATATCAATTATCAAATGTCCAGAAGAAAACTTGTTCCTTCTCTCACTTGGCTACAACCAATCTGTGCTACAAATAAGCAAAGGAGGAAGTCAGTGGAGCACGTGGGGTGGGCCGGGAAGGGGAAGCTCACGGTTTTCCAGTAGAAAGCAGTCTTGTAGTAACTTTATAAAAGAGACCAGGTCTGATCAGAAGTGTGCGTGTTAATGGCGGTGGAGCGCAAGTTCAGATCCCCAGCCATAGCTCCAGGTGGCTTGGATTCTTTGTTCTTTTTTTTTTTCCCGAGAGAGAAAGAGAGATCTGAATCAGGAAAAGGAAAATTTAAAAAGCTAAGCAGGCTGCTGGTGTCTTATCAAGAGGCAGACCCTGCAAAGCTGGAAGAAGACACCCCTACACCCCAGCATTACATTCTTTTCATGAACCCCCCCAATCCTCTATTTGTACACGATTGCCATTCAGACAGTTTTTAAATGCGACTATTTGCCAAGCCCTTTTCAGAACTAACATTCCACAATGTCCCGTCTTCAATTTAAGAAATTCCCCCCCTACAGTCCTTTGTCTTGATTAAAGGTAAAAACCCTCCACCCCCGCACCACCTCCCAGCTTCCACCTGCAATGCTTTAATTAAAAAGGCAAGAGCTATGAACAGGTTTTTTGCCGGGGTTCAGAGCTTCTTTGCTGATCAGTCCTTTTCATCAATTTGCTGGATGGGCAGGTGAACCTGCAGTGGGTCTCGAAGCCTCTTAAGGTCCAATTCTGCCTAAAAGTAAAAGACACGTTATAAAGAACAAGCTCCCAATACACCTTCCCCAATACCATTCCCCTTTACAGAATGGAAAAACATTCCTTGTTTTTCCTGTCCAGAAGGGAAGCGTTCAAAAAGTAAAACAAAGTCACAGGCTCATATTTGGAAAAACCATCCTCAGCACCTACTGAAAGGTGTTTGTTCTGTACTTCTCTGAACTTGTCTACATGCAGCCACTTAAAAGGAATACGGTAGGGAAGATTTGATCCCCATAAACTCACTGGATTTTTTTTTTTTTTTTTTTTTTAAAAAAACCAAACTAGATTAATGGGAAAGGTTGATTCTAGAAGAAAAGCTCCATGAAAATACAGCCACCTAAGGGCATCCATATTCAATACAGCATGAAAAAACCCAGAGGTCTTTCAGGGTTTTTTCATGAAACCAAGAGAGCCTAGCCCTGACCTCCCTCTACTGCTCATGCAGCTTCTTCTCCAAGGCAAGGGGAGAACACGTCTTGCCCTGGATATCCTACACTGTCACTTCCACAGCCTAGGAACAAACAGAAAATGATACGGGGCAGTGAAAAAGAACGTTGTAGCTCTGCTTTTTCTGCTCATGCCATCATTCTGCAGAAAGGCTCTCAGAAACACAAGGCAAGGTCCCTACCCAACTCCTTTGTTGAACAGATGCCACAATGCAGACAGTCTGCCAAAAGGGCGTGTCTCCAGAATACGAGAAATCTGCCCCCATTGCTTCTAACAATACAGCTCAATTTTCTGAACATTATTTTCCAGGACTGCAACCCAGTGCACTGAAGCGCTATGTCAGAAAGACATGAACTGAATGGATGCAAGTCTTCATTCCCACTAAATCCATCTGGTGTGTAGGAGCTGAGAAGAAAGGAAATCTTGAATTAGGCTCCTCTGAGGCATGAAGTGCCTGAAGCAACCCAAGGTTTGCCAGCAGTTTCTAAAAGGCCCTTACAGATAGATAAAGGCAACTGTTTCATGTCGATTTACACATCCAGCAGTTCTATTCCTGGGCACATCAGAGCCAATTCAGTGATTGCACTGGGGCTGTGACAAGAAAATGGGCTGAAAACTTAAGATCCATCCATTCTTGTTTGAGGTGCATCTATTAATAGCAGCTAAGAACTAGCAAGCAGTAATTTCTGTGTCTTATTTCTGGAAAAATTCTTGTTACCTGAGCAATTGCATCCTTGAGTTGATTGTATTTCTCTAGATCAAATCGTGTCTTTTTAGCTCCTTTATGGAAAAATAATAAGTACTGTCTGTCTCTGGCATCTGGATAAACATATTCCTAAAAAGAAAAAAGGAGAGAAGATAGGAATAAAGCATCAACAGGATGCAACACAGGATACCATTAGCACAGTATTTATCGGGTGTGTTTTGGGAGGATGACCAGTTTCTGTCAGTGAAGACACAAGACCAGACAGCATTGTCTAAGCTCACCCAGTGTGGTGGGGTGACCCCAGCCAGCAGCTAAGCCCCCACACCCAGTCACTCACTGCCCTGCAGCTGGACGGGGGAAGAAAATCAAAAGACAAGCAAGAAAACCTTGGCAAAGACCAAGAAAAACTTATGAGTCAACATAAAGACCATTTAATAAGTGAAGAAAAAACCCAAACCTATAAGAATAATGCAAAAGCAGTAACTCGCCACCTCCCACCAGCAGACTAATGCCCAGCCAATCTCCGAGCAACAGATACTTTGGAGAAACTCCCCCCCAGTTTATTGCTGAACCTGACATTATATGGTATGGAATATCTCTTTGGTCAGTTCAGGTCAGCGGTCCTGGCTGTGTCACCTCACAACACCTCGCCCACCCCCAACATATTCCTGGGGGGAGAGCAGGGGAAGCAGCGAGAAACAGAGGCGGCCTTGATGCTGTGCAAGCGCGGTTCAGTAATAGCAACAACATTGGTGTGGTATCAAGACTGTTTTGGTCACAAATCCAAAACACAGCACCATACCAGCTGCTATGAAGAACATGAACTCCATCCCAGCCAGACCCAGTACAGTCAGGCATTTACTTCTCTACTAGTATGTTCCTCTCCAGCAGTGAGTTACCATGAGCTCCCTCCTGTCCCAAATGTGTGAATCCTTCCATGCAGAGAGAACAAAAACTAACACATTTCAGGGTTCCAACACTGACAAGTTTGTGGGGAGAAATGGAGTTTAAAAAAAAAAAAAAAAAAAAAGCCGTAAGTACGAAAAGAAAGCCCTTGTAAGATGGCCCTTTCTTTTTCTTAAGGTCATAAACATGCAGCGGCTAATTAAAGCAACAATAGTTGCTCATGAGTCCATCTCTCAACCAAGCTACACAGGCGAGAACAAGAGTCCAATACCACAGCTTTTGCCAGGAATACTCTACTGCAAAAAGTCACAGCTTTTTAGATCGTGCGGATAACTCGGAGCAGCAGAGCTGTTCACACCAAATCCCACACAGCCTCCGCAAAGCACAGGTCTGCCTGCTGAAGTTAACTCTCCCTTGCAGTGGAACATCACAGCCTCTGTATCTGGTACGCATCCAGCGATCAGGGCTGTCAGGTGGACAAAAGCTGCATTCAGAGTCAAGCCATCCCTGAAACACTGAGATTTTAAGTCTGGCAGAAGAAGTACGAGTTTATATGAACGACTTGATTAAAACATCAAATCTGAGTTCAAGCACGGCAGAAGTTGCAGCCACACTTGGCAGAAACTGTAGCAGGAGCCCTGACAGGGGCACATGTGTCCTCAGCCCCAGAAATGATGCAGCTGACAGAGCACTGGGACACCACGCTGGAACACCCCCAGCATCTGGGACACCACACTGGAACACCCCCAGCATCTGTTCTGGTGGTCTTGTGACAGCAGAGACTTTGAGCCCTCCCTCCCTCATTATTTAGGTGGGATTATGAAGTTTGAATGGGAGTGCTGAGACAAACCACGTACTAGAAATCCACACAGAATCCGTCACAACTACAAGGATCCAGAGAAGAACAGCTCCGCTTTGTGTAAAGCTTTTCCAACACTGGACCAGGTCTAGTTTTTAGAAGACTGAGCCTGAGAGCCAGTGGATCCAGAACTGCACCAAGGGGCAAGCATTCAGATAAATCTGCTTCATCTGGATGAGAATCCAGATCCACAAAATACCTAAACAAAAGCATTTCCAACATGATCCCTGAACCTTTCTTGTCTCTTTAAAAAGGCTAGCACCTCATGTCGGAGAGGTGTGCTTCCCTGAAACTCAGTAGGTACCTCATGTACCCATAGTTTATTTGGCCCGATAAATCACAGCACTTGGAGGCCGCCGGTGCAAGCCAACGTGTGTGAGGCTGCGTGCATGCATGTGTGCAGAAACCATTACCTGTCAGTAGATGACCCTTTACAGCTAAAGCAGTCAATCACAGAACATACATAAACATTTATGGTTAGACAACCAGGAAATCAGCAATGACCACCACCAGAAAAACCCACAACCATACACCACCATCCTGGACAGCAACAATTAAATCAAGTGGCGGCTAGGTTCTGAGAGGATAAGGAAGGGGCAAAATAACTTCTAATAAGCATAATTTTGCTATTGAAGTGTCAATGTCAGCACAACAGGTCCTACCTGGCGAGTCATTACGAAATAAGCATACATTGCCATGGCACTACCATAGGTGATGAAATAGGTGACTGGTTCCATAATGTCCCAAGAATACTCCCACCAGGTTAGGCGGGCCAGAATCCCAAACTGAGTGGCCATGTAGGCCAGGCCTCCCCACAACACCAAGGTTGTCCTCTTCTCCGCTTTCCTGCTGCGCTCCATCCTGACCTGCAGGAGATAGAAGCACACGCCTTGTATTCTCAGAAATAAGTATGTTAATATAATTGAGAGAACTTAAAAATAACACCTTGTATTTATACTGCATGCTAAGTGGCTTGAGACACATGATTTGAGTCTAGGTTATGCAGACAAATCCAGACTTCTTTTCCATCTGTATCTTGCCATCATCCATATTTTACTCTGAGCATGCTCTGGATATAGAGAAACATAGATAAATAAGCAAAGCTGCTTATTTCTCTATGTTTAGAGATGTTCTGTTGCATTAGCCCCAGTCTTTATTTACTACCAAGCTTGTTTCCAATTATATAAAGCCAGGAAACATAATGCTTCCACAGAAACCAGAAACAGACATGGTTTGCTATACACTTAATGCATCTTCTGCTTCAATAACCTTAAAACTATTTGAAGCATGCCAGGGACCTAATTAAAACCTTGAAATAAATTAAGGCTGCATTTAGAGGATGAGTAAAATACAATGAGAAACTTCTCACTTTTTCTAGCGGTGCTAGTTGCTCCTTCAGTTCCTCTAGTCTCCCTATCAGCTCCTTCTCTTTGTTCAGCTGGTGCTCCTCAATGCACAAGGCAGTATACAACTGCTGAA